TCAAGTTCCGGATCCACAGTTGTTGTCGGGTGAATCGGCCATCAGCAAAAGGTAGAAGGACGACCGTGGAAGTGATCTCGCCCCAGATACCGGAGGCAAACTGATGGAAGGCGTTGTAGGCAGTCTGAACTTGATTGAACTCGGACGAACCGACGCCCTGCCAATCAAAGACAACGGACACATTGAAGATGGTAATGTGCCGAAAGGGAGATGCATTCCAATGGACAGCGAGAAGGCGCATCAATCGTTCGTCGGTGGTGAGAGGAACCTTGGGAGCGGGGAGAGCGGCAACAGTGTCCCTGTAGGTCGGGGCACTATTGTGTTCCTCTGCTCCATTTTCCGCACTGGTCCTCCCACGGTGGGTGTTGGCAACCGCGACGTCGTCAGCTGGAAGACTGGCTTCCTGTGTTCCTGTTGGGGTGCCGGCAATGATGTGGACGGCGTCAGACAGGATCACTTGTTGGCGAGGAGGAGTTGCATCTGAAGGTGGAGTTCGTTGGAAGGGTTGGGAACGACCGGTGGCGTCAGTTCCGTTTGCATCTGGACAGAGGGGGACGGGCGCAAATCGTGTGCCTTGGCACCTTTTGGATTCTCTGGAGTAGATGCAGGGCGCTTCGTAGACTTGGACTGAGCCTTAGATATTTTCGACTCTCTTTCTAGTCGCTCGAATTCCTTCACAATGGGAGGAATAATGGCCGGGCCTGTCCAAGGATGAGCAAAGAATTCGGATGCCGCTAGCCACATCCAAGTCAACGGCTCGGCGCGTTGAACAATTAATGTTGGGTCGAACACGAGCGCGAATTCCCAAAAGCGAGGCGACTTTCCGTCAGTTTTGATAACGTGTTGGGCCGTAGCGAGATCAAACACAACCGTGGGGCACTGTGTCGCGAGGCGAAGAAAGTACTCGCGAAGAGCCCAGGAACCTTCGTTGTCGTCGGCATCTTCGAGATCGCCAAGAGAAAACAGATTTTGCATGCTGGACCGAAGCTGTGGCATCGAACCACCAAGTGATGGGTCGTACGCCTTCAAGCCAGACAGGATTAACGCAGCGATCTCGTCGTAGGAATGAGAATCAAACTCCTTCAAGTTCCGGATCCACAGTTGTTGTCGGGTGAATCGGCCATCAGCAAAAGGTAGAAGGACGACCGTGGAAGTGATCTCGCCCCAGATACCGGAGGCAAACTGATGGAAGGCGTTGTAGGCAGTCTGAACTTGATTGAACTCGGACGAACCGACGCCCTGCCAATCAAAGACAACGGACACATTGAAGATGGTAATGTGCCGAAAGGGAGATGCATTCCAATGGACAGCGAGAAGGCGCATCAATCGTTCGTCGGTGGTGAGAGGAACCTTGGGAGCGGGGAGAGCGGCAACAGTGTCCCTGTAGGTCGGGGCACTATTGTGTTCCTCTGCTCCATTTTCCGCACTGGTCCTCCCACGGTGGGTGTTGGCAACCGCGACGTCGTCAGCTGGAAGACTGGCTTCCTGTGTTCCTGTTGGGGTGCCGGCAATGATGTGGACGGCGTCAGACAGGATCACTTGTTGGCGAGGAGGAGTTGCATCTGAAGGTGGAGTTCGTTGGAAGGGTTGGGAACGACCGGTGGCGTCAGTTCCGTTTGCATCTGGACAGAGGGGGACGGGCGCAAATCGTGTGCCTTGGCACCTTTTGGATTCTCTGGAGTAGATGCAGGGCGCTTCGTAGACTTGGACTGAGCCTTAGATATTTTCGACTCTCTTTCTAGTCGCTCGAATTCCTTCACAATGGGAGGAATAATGGCCGGGCCTGTCCAAGGATGAGCAAAGAATTCGGATGCCGCTAGCCACATCCAAGTCAACGGCTCGGCGCGTTGAACAATTAATGTTGGGTCGAACACGAGCGCGAATTCCCAAAAGCGAGGCGACTTTTCGTCAGTTTTAATAACGCGTTGGGCCGCAGCGAGATCAAACACAACCGTGGGGCACTGTGTCGCGAGGCGAAGAAAGTACTCGTGAAGAGACCAGGAAGCTTCGTCATCGTCGGCGTCGTCGAGGTCGCCAAGAGAAAACAGATTCTGCATGCTGGACCGAAGCTGGGGCATAGAACCACCAAGTGATGGGTCGTACACCTTCAAGCCAGACAGGATTAACGCAGCGATCTCGTCGTAAGAATGAGCATCGGCTTGGTCCGTACTGGCTTCAGCCCACCAGCCGGGGCATTTGGATATTGCCTGACAAAAGTGTGTACCGAAACCCTGTGGGACCGTCCCTTCTTCCTTGGCGGAGATGCCAATTCAGGGTCCTTGTCTTCACCAGTAACACCGGTCAGTTCGGAAACTGCCTCATCCGTATTCAGGCCCATGTTGTTGTTGTCTTTGTCGTTTGCAGTATCCGTAAGATCATAAGTACTTTCCACGAGAATGACAGAATCCTTGGTCGATTCGTCAGTATCCTCGTCATCCTCCTCCGCCTCGCCCTTGTCGTCGTCGTCGTCATGGGTGCGATCGTCACCAGAAGCGAGTTCACCGTCTATTTCCATGTCGTTCCTTCGGTCGTTGGACTCGTCAACGGTCTCGTCCGAGTCCCATCCATCGGGCTGGCCGAACTTATTGACAAGGCCAGTGTCCTCGTCGCCCATCAGATCATCTTCCTCCTCAGAATCTTCGTAGTCAGGATCAAATATCTTTTTGACCCCCTTGTGAATATCCACCTTATTAGTTTCGTCGTTGGGAAATCCCTCAATCACCTTCAATTTTATTTCTTGAATGCAAGAGATTGGGGACTCCTCGAGAAATTCGTCAAAAAGCATCGTCCATGGGTGATCAAATATGGAAGCGCACATCAGCCAAAACTGCACCAGGGGAGTCTCATTACGTAGAGCGGGATTCATCCTATCGTCCCTCAAAAAATACAGATCTTCTTGTGGAACTTTGGAATCGTTCACAAGGCCAACATCAAAAAAAGAAAACGGAATCTGCTGGGCGACTTGCAATGCGATTGGGTCCACCGATCATTATGATCTTCCATCCATTGATTGAAAATGGAGTTGCAAAACGAAATCTTAGTTGAATTATAGTCGTACCCGATAGCAATCAATTCGTGAGTAGATAACCCAAAGTCGATCAGTGGTGGGAGAGATGCGATCAGCTCTCGAATCTCCGAATCATTGTTGACAGTAGGATCCCTGTCCTTAGGTTGACGTAAATCAACTGCAGATGCATTTTCCAATCTTTTCTTTCCGCTCTTTTTGGCGACAGAAACCGATTTGGGTGTGGACCCGCCCGCCTTGTTGGCAGTCGTTGAGACAACCTTCAGTGATGTAGACTTCCCCATTGCAAAACAGTGAAATACCGTTGAATTGATAAAAACTTCAGCAAGTTCTACGAGACTCTGGTACTTAGACTACGAAGACCGTTTGCAAGTTCCGATCGGTTCGGTGCTTTTCGTTTTTCATGTTTGCTTTTTCTATAACCAACCGCAGCCTATCTTAAGACCTTCAAGATTTGGGACGTCACCACCACACGACATAATGGCAAACTGGCAGGTACAATTGGATGCTGTCAGAGCAGCTGAAGAAGACATCAGTGTTGCAAGTACACAGAGCTCCAAAGTACAGGTTGGTAGGGAAGTAGCTGTGATGCATTCCCAAGCTCATCGGGGACTCAAGTACAAGGATAGCGGCGATCTGGTATATCTTGATTCAAATGATTATAAGGATGGCAAGATTCCGGAGCATTTTGATATGCATGATCCGAAGTGGTTTCGTTCGGGCGCAACAGGTCCGTCCCTTGACACTGGTTTGACATTTCATCTTTGCAAAGATTCGATGAATGCGAAGATGGGAACATTGAAAGAGCTTCCGTATATGTTCAATTATGGAACAAATGTCGGAGGAGGAAGGAATCTAACACATGAAGTTGAGAGCAAGCACATGGATAATATGTGTAAGTATGGTGCCGATGCCATCTGTGATGTGGACAGTGCGTCTTTATTGGTAAAAGAAGGGTATCGTATTGTGATGGATACCAACGTAGAAAATGCATTTTTTGTTTCCAAAGATGGGAATCAATGGATTTACAGAGAAATGGATGGGTTGTATACTTATGACCCCCATGAGGGGCAGAGTCATTGCAATGTGTGCATGGAAATTGGACCGACGGGTGAAGCCTGCAGTTCGTGCAGAGCCCACGGTGGTTTCGTGCCAGGTGAATCGTATCATGGCGGCAACAATAATACAACTAGTCTACATACTTCCCGTTACTCTGGTCTCCAAACTGTAAAAAAGAACATAGAGGGTTACACCCCACGACAAGTTGACCGAGCAAACGCTGCAAGGTCCGGGTATCACATGGGTGGTGCACCAGGGATTGAAGCATTCAAAGTTGCCGTACGCTCCGGTTTATTCAAGAATTGTCCCATCAGAGAAGAAGACATTGTTATTGCTGACAAGATTTATGGACCAAGCGCTTCAGATCTTAAAGGAAAGACTAAGCGTCCTACCCCGGAAGCAGTCCGGGATGATTGGGTTGAGATCCCACGTGAATTGTTGGTCCACAACATTGATTTGAATTTGCATCTGGATATTGCATTCATCAATAAGACATTCGGATTGACTACAATTGATGGTAGTGTCCGATACCAAACTTTTGTACCGCTGCGTAGCAGGACAGCGGAGTCGTTGTATGACGCAATCGATCACGTGTTGCGCATTTACAACCATGCTGATTTTACTATCAAGACTATCTACTGTGATGGTGAATTTAGACCAGTTTTTGATGATGTTAAAGATGAGATGAATGTTGATATGAATTATGCGAGCCGGGGGGAACACGATCCCACGGCGGAACGAAACAACCAACATATCAAGGCGTTTTTCCGTGTCCAATACCATCGCATGCCGTATAAGGCCATTCCGAGGATTATTACTGAAGCTATTGCAAAACAAGTTGCACAGACTTCCAACTTTTACCCCGCCAAAGGGGGTATTTCGGCTTATTACAGTCCTCATATGATTTTGTTGCGACGCCAAGTTGATTATTCGAAGGAATTTGTTGCTGAACTTGGGTCGTATGTCCATGGTTATAAACATGTTACTCGCAGTGATCATCGGTCACGCACTATTGAAGCGATTTACCTGGGACCAGCTGATAATATGCAAAAGGGTCACAAGCTATATGATTTGAACACAAAAAGAGAGGTAACTAGACCTCGAATTACGGTGCTCCCAATCACTGATCAAGTTATCAAATTGGTTGAAGCCCATGCTGCTGAGGAAGGCGTTACAGATTTACGCACCTATTCCAGGCGCAATGGAGAAATAATTTTGGATGCTGATCTGCTCGCAGGAGTGGACCCAGATGAACTGTGGGACGAAGACTATGTACCTGCAGATATTGAGATTCCACCGGTCAATGACATGAATTTGCGCAAGAATGATGCAATCACAGATGAAGAACTCGAAGAACTAATCGAGGATGCAGCCAAAGATATATTGGAATCTAGAAGAATTGATGATAAGAGACAACATGAATATGATGAGGCAGATAGAACTGTCGACCGCATGCTGCAAAGAATTAAGAGACGTCAAGAAGAAGACGATGAAGACGATATGGATTTTGTGCAGGATCAGCAACCTGAAAGCGATATTGAAATGGATATCGATGATGAAGAATTAAAAGATATGATTGATGAAGTAGCCCATGAGTTGGATAGATTGAGCCAACCCATTGAAGAAGAAATAATGTTCAGCGTTGAAGATGAAGACGATGACTATGAGGGTGAATTTGATGCGGAAGAAATACAAGAACTGCAAGAAGCAGAAGACGAACCGCAAGTATATCCTGACAAAGAAGATGATGTTCGTGCAGGAGTGAGGTTTGAAGAAGTCCCCGTGTTGAGTACAACAGATGATTCGAATAAAGACAAAAAAGGAGAACACGAAGTGGACGATCATTTTATTCAAACGGAGTCAAGTATCGACCCACAGATAGGAATCGAACTGACAGACCAAGATATGGACAAACGTACTTACAACTAAAGAAGCCCAAGATCAATTTGTTAAAGAACAGGAGTGCCATGAGAAAGAAGGCACGGTCGAAGAGATTACGTATCTCATTATACCAGGCTATTGCTGTCAAAGGTAAAATCACGAAAGAAAGGAGAGTTTTGGGATGACGACGTGTTGAGCGCTGAAGCAAGAAGAAAGATTACTGAACGGGCGCATAACTTAATGTTCCAGCAGAGTGGAACTGAGAAGAAAGCGACTTACAATGTGGATGAGTCGTTGGTGATTTCACGCGTCATGCAACAGATTCGTGACGAAGTGTACACAAGGGATGGAGTGTCATTTATTTAGCAGTATTATCCTCGCTTGCACGCAAATATAACTGCCTTCACCGGCAGATGTATATGGTACGGCGGCAGGCTGAAGACAATTGTCGCACTACCTCATCTGGCAAGGTTCCTTGGTCTTCCAAATTGCAGGGCTTCTGGGATCGATTGAGTCTCTGGAAGCTACTCCTTAAAGGACGCAAGCGATGTCGTGTGAGCTCCCGAAAGGTCCGGCGCCTGATGAAGAAGACAAGGCTGTGCACCGCGTGGAAGAAGACGACTGATGAACTGGAAG